TTTTAGGTAAACATTGTTCTTCTTCGGAGGAGACAATTGATTTCCTGAGCTCCTTGGGGCCTTAGGGTACCATGCTTTTTGTATTTGGCCTTTTATGAATTATTTACTTATAAAAAAATAAAAAATAAAAAAAAAACTTGCACCCAAAAGGTCCACGCGTCCTTATGTACCGAATCAGCGATATATAGATTATATGTTGCTCACAGATGATGGTGAGCTTGAATGCTATAACGAAGCATGTCAGGTTGAAGATGCTAGCAAGTGGGAGCTTGCAATAGAAGATGAGATGAAGTCCCTTATCTCCAACAAAACATGGGAACTAGCCAAGTTGCCTATGGGGAAGAAAGCTCTTCACAACAAATGGGTATACAGGGTAAAAGAGGAACACGATGGTTCTAAGAGATACAAGGCAAGATTGGTGGTCAAAGGCTTTCAGCAAAAGCAGGGCATTGACTACACATACGTTTTTTTCCCTGGTTGTGAAACTGAGTACCATTCACTCAGTTCTTAGCATTGTTGCAGCAGAGGGGTTGCATCCTAAGCAGTTAGATGTCAAAACTGCTTTCCTCCATGGTGACCTAGAGGGACATGGCTACAACAAGTGCAATGCTGACCATTGCTGCTACTTCAAGAGGTTTAAGCAAGTTTCATTATCCTTCTACTTTATGTTGTTGACATGTTAGTGGCATGTTCTGATTTTGAAGAAATTAGCAAATTGAAGAAGCAATTGTCTGGTGAATCCGAGATGAAGGATCTTGCTGCAGTGAAACAAATTCTTGGAATGAGGATTAGCAAAGACAAGTAGAAAGGTAGTTTGCAGTTGTCTCAGGCTGGGTATGTTGAACGGGTTTTGAAGAGGTTCAACATGAATAATGCTAAGGCGGTGAGTACTCCCTTAGCTAGTCACTTCCGATCATCTCAAGATCAGTGTCCGAAGACACAGGATGAGAAAAACTGTATGGCTAAAATTTCATATGCCTTAGCCATTGGAAGTTTGATGTATGCCATGGTGTGCACAAGACCGGATATTGCATATGCAGTGGGAGCAGTAAGTAGGTTCATGAAGTATTCGGGCAAGCTACACTGGAAGCAGTGAAGTGGATATTAAGATATCTAAGGGGTACCACAGACAGATACCTATGTTTCAGAAGGGGCGAGGTGAAGCTACGTGGTTATGTAGATTCAGACTTAGCTGGTGAGGTGGACCACAAAAGAAGTACTATCGGGTATGTGTTCACGGTGGGTACAACTGCAGCTAATTAGGTTTCGCAAATACAGAGGATTGTAACGTTATCTACTATAGAGGCAGATTATGTGGCGATGATAGAGGCCAGCAAGGAGATGATTTGGTTACAAGGTTTGTTGACAGAGTTGGGATTCGAACAGGTGAAGAATGTTTTGCACAGTGATAGTCAAAGTGCGATACATCTGGCAAAGAATTCAACATTTCATTCAAGGACCAAGCATATAGGATTTCGGTATCACTTCATCAGATCTTTGTTAGAAGATGGGGTGTTGACACTTGAGAAAATACTTGGCACCAAGAATTCGGCTGACATGTTGACTAAGATAGTGACCATGGAGAAACTGAAACTGTGCGCAACTTCAGTCGGTCTTCTAGCTTGTAGACAAAGATAAGCGCACCGACATGCATAGGATTTGCATGAGAAGAAGATGGAATGAGTTTACAAATGCTCCAACCTCCAAGTGGGAGATTGTTGTGTTTTTTTGGAATTTGGTTACATGAAACATTTTTAGGAAGATTTAATTATATGGAAACTTCAGTTTCCGGATATGTGTTTAATTTCCTTATTGGTTTTGGACTCTACAAAAGGCAATTTCTTGTAGGACAAGTCTTTTTGGGTCTATATATATCAACTCTAATAAGAATTTAGGGTGTGAAGAAAAAGAAGAGGATCATTATACGTGTTCTATAATTGATTAATTTGTGTGAACACAAGAGAGAGCAATTGAGAGAGATTGAGCGAAAATTCTCCATTGTAATTCATCATCTTTTTCATAGTGACATTTGTTCGGTGCGCTTCATGGACGTAGTCCTAAGATTTGGGTGAACCATGTATATCTTGTGTTCTTGTGTGATTTTTTTTATTCTTCATGATTGCTTGATTATTTCTCGAACAACGTTGTTTATTTTGTGTTTCCGCCACAACAACTGGTATCAAAGGATCCGGTTAATTGTGCAGAGCGACTCTAACATACGATGCCCCCTCGGTACAGCATTGAAGACGGTTGCCCTGATATATTCAGTTCCCAAATAGATATTGATACACTCATATCTGTATTTATCTGTATATATATGCATATATGCTTCTATTATATATTCTCTTTGCCGATGTTATTCTTTTGTTTTCTGATGAGGGAAACAATTTTAGAAGATAATGGCACCTTTATTATAGTTTTCCTTTTAAAATTTTGCACTTCATTTTTTCTTTTCATTTTGAAATCATTGATGGAAAGGAGTTTGGATTTAGATTGTGGGTAAAAATTGGGAGACTGTTTTTATACAAACAGAACACATGTCCTGAGGTTGAAGACAACTATGATTGGTGTAGGACCCACTCAAGACACGTGAGGTGGGAGATGACTTTGAATTTTCACATTACGTGGCTTGACCATTTGAGATTCGGTGACAATTCAGGGATAACCATTTGGTTTCCCTATCACTACTCAAATCTTTATTATGATAGTTCTGGCCAACCCTTGACTGGATTAACTTGAAGAATTATATATTTCCCTTTGGGATGAGTTTTCGTTAAACTTAGTTTTTGTACTTGGTTCATTATCATTTCCCTGGCCAAGATTATATTTTCGTAAAATATATTTATGCTAATCCTTTTTGCAATAATTTATATTGTTTAGTTGTGTTATCCGAGTCCTCCTGGAGTTGGATCAATGGGCCCTCAAAGTTTTGCTCCACCCAGCCTCATGCAGATAAACTTCTATCCTTTCTGAGTTACATGTCATTCCTTGTCTGCTTCTTCTAAAAAGGGCTAGCCTAGTACATAAGGCTCCCTTATCTGCTTCTTATAAGAACTATAATACTTTCACTATGGGCAAATCCATTTGCTTCACATGGTTCTGGCACAGCAAGGACAAACAGCTTTGGGTTTGCAACAATTTTCGCTCGAGTTTTCTGTCAACTAAATTGTATTTAGGGTAAAGTGCAAACCCCCCTTGAACTATGCGTTTTTGCAAATAACCCCCCTGAACTACATAGTGTCTCCCTGAATTATTAATTTGTTGCAATTAAGGACAAACTGATCACAAAAGACTATTTTACCCTTTCTCATTAAATTTGTCATTTCTTATTAACTAGGAAAAAAATTATCATTCTGATTAAATTACTTTTATTATCTTTTCTCTTTTCTAAATATTTAATTATATCATTTACCTTAATTTTATTATTAGTATCAATTTATGATTAAAATGGAAAAATTTAAATAGACTTGTAACTTCCATTTTCTAAGAGCTTCTCCAACCGTTGTGTATATATTTTTGTGTAAATCTGATGTGTCAGAGTAGATTTACACAAAAATTTTGTACTACCTATTTTTAGCTCCAGTGGTTATTTTAAACCTTTTATGTAAAAAAATATCCCCCAATAACAACCAATCACGTGTCATACCCAAGGTCCTACATAACTTTTACAAACCTAGTTGATTCACTTTACTTTTTCGCGATTAAACCTCACGTCCCAATCCTCCTCAATTAGGAAAAAAATAATAATTTCCTTCTATATTTCACTTTCCCGTCCTGCCAATAGCAAACCTTTCTCGCCGCCACCAGAATTGTAACTTAATAACAAATAATAAAATAAGATTTAAGTATGTAGAAACTACATAATCAAAGGTTTTATATCAACAATTATACAAAAACGTGATCTAAAAAACCCCTAGAATCTACGACGATGATTGCAGAAGATAAGATCAAACGAAAGTGATGAATCAAACTATGTTTATTACAAAAAAAATAAATAAATAAAAGATGGTCGAGCAGGTCTTACCTTGCCGGTTGCAGATTCTTCTCTATGGTGCTCTAGAAAAGAGGGAAACAAAGAGGCGTAAAGGAATGAGAGATAAGAAAGAGAACAACGAGTGGGAAAGGGGGAGGAGAGAAAATATGCTTACGTGGCTGTGTAAAAGGGCTGTGTAAAATACACAACCCTTTTACACATTGGTGATGTGGCAGTGTATATCAACAGACTGCTGGAGATGAAAAAAAATTACAAATCATATGTGGCAGTGTATATTTTGCACAAAAGGGTTTTTTAATATATTGGTGGAACTCTAGGTTTTTTTAAAAATTATATATTTACCTCCATGGGAAAAAAATACCTTCTTTGTCATACAATATCTTCATGAAAAATTAATAAATTACTTGAATAAAAAATGCATTTTTTTTTTAATGCAATATATTCATGAAAAATTAAGAACGAACTTAAATTGTTTTAAAATTTTCTACTTAAGATTTAATTAAATAATTAATTCAAAAAATTAAAGGTAAATTTATGCAAATTTAATGGAGAATATGTCATCAAATTAGTATTAATTTTTTTCATAATTTATTTCAATAAGAAAAATAGATTAAGTACAATTCAATAAAAAAGGGCATTGTGGGCATTTAATGAAAATAGTCTAGGCATTGGGGAATGTTGCAACAAAATGTGATAGTTCAGGGTATATTATGCACAAAATCTAGTTCAAGTTGGTTATTTGCAAATTCGGACATAGTTCAAGGTTTTTTTTTTGCACTTTCCCTTGTATTTAGTATATTGTCAAAATCTTTATTATGACACTTTAGGCCAATCGTTGACTGGATTAACTTGGAAGAATTAAACATTTCCCTTTGGCATGAGTTTTTGTTCATCTTAATTAGTTTTAGTACTTGGTTCATTCTCTTTTCCCTGGCCAAGCATATAATAACATAAAATATATTTATGGCAATCCTTTTTACAATAATCTCTCTCTTTCCTATAAAAGTCTCCTGGAGTTGGATCAATGGGCACTCAAAGTTCTACTCCACCCTTCCTTATGCAGGTAAACATCTCTCCTTTCTGAGTTACATGGCAATCCTTATCTGATTCTTCTAAAAAGGGCTAGCCTAGTGCAAGAGGCTCCCTATAATTGGATTAACTTGAAGAATTATATATTTCCCTTTGGCATGAGATTATGTTCAACTAAATTAGTTCTACTACTTGCTTCATTCTCTTTTCCCCGCCCCAGATTATCATATCGTAAAATATATTTATAATCTTTTATCCCAACGTTGTTTAATTACAAATTTTGTGATTTTTTTTTTCACTTTTTTATTATTTATTTTTAATTATAAATTTGTTTAACCTAAGATATGTGCTGCTCACATATTTTCCATTAATTTTGGGTCATTTTCAATGTATTGAAACATGGGCTGTTTTACTTTGGATTGAGTTTTCAGTCAATTAAATTGAATTTAGGATATTGTCAAAATCTATATTATGATGGTTCTGGCCAACCTTTGACTGGATTAACTTGAATTATATTATTTCCCTTTGGGATGGGTTATTGTTCAACTTAATTAGTTTTAGTACTTGGTTCGTTATCATTTCCCTGGCCAAGATTATAATATCGTAAAATATGTTTATGCTAATCCTTTTCACAATAATTTATATTGTTTAACCGTGTTATTTTTGGCCTCCCCCCCCCCTCTCTCTCTACTGTAAAAGCCACCTAGAGTTGGATCAATGGGCACTCAAACTTCTTTTCAACACTTCCATATGCAGGTAAACTTCTCTCCTTTCTGAGTTACATGTCATTTCTTCTCTGCTTCTTCTAAAAAGGGCTAGCCTAGTGCACGAGGCTCCCATATCTGCTTCTTATAAGATCTATCATATGTTCGCTATGAGCCAATCCATATGCTGTACGTGGTTCTGGCACAGCAAGGACAGGAAACTTTTGGTTCGCAACAATATTGGCTTGAGTTTTCAGTCGACTAAATTGAATTTAGGATATTGTCAAAATTTTTTATAATGACAGTTCTGGCCAATCTTTGACTGGATTAACTCGAAGAATTATATATTTCCTTTTGGCATCAGTTTTTGTTCAACTTAATTAGTTTTAGTACTTGGTTCATTCTCTTTTCCCTTCCCAAGATTATAATAACTTAAAATATATTTATAATCTTTTTATCCCAATGTTGTTTTAATAACAAATTATATGAATTTTTTTTTTTTTTCACTCTTTTTATTTTTGTTAATAAAAAATTTGTTTAAGCTAATAAGATTTGTGCTACTCACATAATTTCCATTAATTTTTGGTCATTTTCAATTTATTGAAACATGGGATGTTTTACTTTGGCTTTAGTTTTCAGTCAACTAAATTGAATTTAGGATATTGTCAAAATCTTTATTATGATAGTTTTGGCCAATCTTGGATTGGATTAACTTGTAGAATTATATATTTCCCTTTGGGATGAGTTTTTGTTCAACTTAATTTGTTTTAGTACTTGGTTCATTATCATTTCCCTGGCCAAGATTATAATATTGTAAAATATGTATATGCTAATCCTTTGTTACCTGTGGGGTGTGCACCCCTTTGTTTTTGGCCCAAGTTCTACTCCACCTTTCATGTCATTCCTTATCTGCTCCTTCTAAAAAAGGCTAGCATAGTGCACGAGGCTCCCTTATCTGCCTTCTTATAAGTTCTATAATATTTTCACTATGAGCGAATCCATTTGCTACACTTTCTTCTGACACAGCAAGGACTGGCAACTTTGGGTTCGCAACAATTTTGGCTCGAGTTTTCAGTCAATTAAATTAAATTTAGAATATTGTCAAAATCCTTATTTTGACAATTCAGGCCAATCCTTGACTGGATTAACTTGAAGAATTATATATTTCCGTTCGGCATAATTGTTTGTTCAACTTAATTAGTTTTAGTAGTTGGTTCATTCTCTTTTCCCTGGCCCAAATTATAATATCGTAAAATATATTTATGCTAATCCTTTTTTCAATAATTTATATTGTTTAGCTGTGTTATTTTGGCCTCTAAATATCCCCCCCCCCCCCCCCGGTTCCCCCCCTTTTTCTCTTTGTCTCTCCTGTAAAAAAGCCTCCTGGAGTTGGAACAATGGGCCCTCAAAGTTCTGCTCCACCGTTCACTATGCAGGTAAACTTGTCTCCTTTCTGAGTTACATGCCATTGCTTATCTGCCTAAAAAGGGCTAGCCTAGTGCATGAGGCTCCCTTATCTGGATTAACTTGAAGAATTATATATTTCCCTTTGGCATGAGTGTTTGTTCAACTTAATAAATTTTAGTAGTTGGTTCATTCTCTTTTCCCTGGCCCAGATTATAATATCGTAAAATATATTTATGCTAATCCTTTTTACAACAATTTATCTTGTTTAACTGTGTTATTTTGGCCTCTAAATATTCCCCACACCCCCCCGGGTCTCTTTCTCTCTCCGGTAAAAGCCTCCTGGAGTTGGAACAATGGGCCGTCAAAATTTTGCTCCACCGTTCCCTATGCAGGTAAACTTCTCTCCTTTCTGAGTTACATGTCATTGCTTATTTGCTTCTTATAAGATCTATTATATGTTCACTATTAGCCAATCCATTTGCTACGTGGTTCTGGCACATCAAGGACAGGAAACTTTTGGTTGGAAACAATTTTGGCTTTAGTTTTGAGTCGACTAAATTGAATTTCTGATATTGTCAAAATCTTTATAATGACAGTTCTGGCCAATCTTTGATTGGATTAACTTGAAGAATTATATATTTCCCTTTGGCATCAGTTTTTGTTCAACTTAATTAGTTTTAGTACTTGGTTTATTATCATTTCCCTGGCCAATATTATAATATTGTAAAATATGTATATGCTAATCCTTTGTTACCTGTGGGGTGTGCACCCCTTTATTTTTGGCCCTCAAAGTTCTGCTCCACCTTTCATCTCATTCCTTATCTGCTTCTTCTAAAAAAGGCTAGCATAGTGCACGAGGCTCCCTTTTCTGCCTTCTTATAAGTTCTATGATATTTTCACCATGAGCAAATCAATTTGCTACACTTTGTTCTGACACAGCAAGGACTGGCAACTTTGGGTTCGCAACAATTTTGGCTCGAGTTTTTAGTCAATTTAGGATATTGTCAAAATCCTTATTCTGACAATTCAGGCCAATCCTTGACTGGATTAACTTGAAGAATTATATATTTCCCTTCGGCATGAGTGTTTGTTCAACTTAATTAGTTTTAATAGTTGTTCCATTCTCTTTTCCCTGGCCTAGATTATAATATCGTAAAATGTATCTATGCTAATCCTTTTTACAGTAATTTATATTGTTTAGCTGTGTTACCCCGGTCGTCTCTCTCTCACCTGTAACAGCCTACTAGGCCTCTTGGAGTTGGAACAATGGGCCCTCAAAGTTCTGCTCCACCGTTCCCCATGCAGGTAAACTTCTCTCCTTTCTGAGTTACATGTCATTGCTTATCTGCTTCTTCTAAAAAGGGCTAGCCGAGTGCATGAGGCTCCCTTATCTACTTATAAGCTCTATAATATTCACTTTGAGCCAATCTATTTGCTCCACGTGGTTCTGGCACATCAAGGACAGGAAACTTTTGGTTCGAAACAATTTTGGCTTGAGTTTTCAGTCGACTAAATTGAATTTCTGATATTGTCAAAATCTTTATAATGACAGTTCTGGCCAATCTTTGACTGGATTAACTTGAAGAATTATATATTTCCCTTTGACATGAGTTTTTGTTCTACTTAATTAGTTTTAGTACTTGATTTATAATCATTTCCTTGGCCAAGATTATAATATCGTAAAATAGGTATATGCTAATCCTTTGTTACCTGCGGGGTGTGCACCCCTTTGTTTTTGGCCCTCAAAGGGCTAGCCTAGTGCATGAGGCTCCCTTATCTGGATTAACTTGAAGAATTATATATTTCCCTTCGGCATGAGTGTTTGTTCAACTTAATAAGTTTTAGTAGTTGGTTCATTCTCTTTTCCCTGCCCAGATTATAATATTGTAAAATATATTTATGCTAATCCTTTTTACAGTTATTTATATTGTTTAGCTGTGTTATTTTGGCCTCTAAATATTCCCTCCCCCTTCCTTTTGTTTCTTTCTCTCACCTGTAAAAGCCTCCTGGGCTTTCTGGAGTTGGAACAATGGGACCTCAAAGTTTTGCTCCACCGTTCCCTATGCCGGTAAACTTATTTCCTTTCTGAGTTAACTTGAAAAATTATATATTTCCCTTCGGCATGAGTGTTTGTTCAACTTAATTAGTTTTAGTAGTTGGTTCATTCTCTTTTCCCTGGCCCAGATTATAATATGGTAAAATATATTTATGCTAATCCTTTTTACTATAATTATATTGTTTAGCTGTTTTATTTTGGCCTCTAACACCACCCCACCCCCCCCATCTCCCTCCCTCCCTCCCTCCCTCTCCTGTAAAAGCCTCCTAGGCCTCCTGGAGTTGGAACAATGGACCCTCAAAGTTCTGCTCCGCCGTTTCCTATGCAGGTAAACTTCTCTCTTTTCTGAGTTACATGTCATTGCTTATCTGCTTCTTCTAAAAAGGGCTAGCCTAGTGCACGAGGCTCCCTTATCTGCTTCTTATAAGATCTATAATATGTTCACTTTGAGCCAATCCATTTGCCACACGCGGTTCTAGCACATCAAGGACAGGAAACTTTTTGTTCGCAACAATTTTGGCTTGAGTTTTCAGTCGACTAAATTGAATTTTGGATATTGTCAAAATCTTTATAATGACAGTTCTGGCCAATCTTTGTCTGGATTAACTTGAGGAATTATATATTTCCCTTTGGCATGAGTTTTGTTCAACTTAATTAGTTTTAGTACATGGTTCATTCTCTTTTCCCTGCCCAAGATTTTAATATCGTAAAATATATTTATAATCTTTTATCCCAACGTTTTAATTACAAATTGTATGAACTTTTTTTTGTCAGTTTTATTTATTTATTTATTTTAATTATAAATTTATTTAAGCTAAGATTTGTGCTGCTCACATATTTTCCATTAATTTTTGGTCATTTTCAATGTATTGAAACATGGGCTGTTTTACTTTGGCTTGAGTTTTCAGTCAACTAAATTGAGTTTAGGATATTGTCAAAATCTTTATAATGACAGTTCTGGCCAATCTGACTGGATTAACTTGAAGAATTATATATTTCCCTTTGGGACGAGTTTTTGTTCAACTTAATTAGTTTTAATACTTGATTCAGTATCATTTCCCTGGCCAAGATTATAATATCGTAAAATATATTTATGCTAATCCTTTTTGCAATAATCTATATTGTTTAGCAGTGTTATCCTAATGCAAGAACAGGAAACTTTTGGTTCGCAACAATTTTGGCTTGAGTTTTCAGTCGACTAAATTGAATTTAGGATATTGTCAAAATCTTTATTTTGGCAGTTCAGACCAATCTTTGACTGGATTAACTTGAAGAATTATATATTTCCCTTTGGCATGAGTTTTTGTTCAACTTAATTAGTTTTAATACTTGGTTCAGTCTCTTTTCCCTGCGCAAGACTATAATATCAGAAAATATATTTGTGCTAATCCTTTTGACCATAATTTATATTGTTTGTCTTCGTTATTTTGGCCTCTAAATATTTCTCTCTCCCCATCCCCCAGCCCCCACCCCCATCATTCTTTGACTGCTTCTTATAAGTTCTATAATATTTTCACTATTAGTAAATCCATTTGCTACACAGGTGATTCTGGCAGAGCAAGGACATGCAACTTTGGGTTCGCAACTATTTTGTTCATTTTGGCATGGTAGATCTTTACCTAATGTTGGGATGCCTTTTAGTTTGGATCAGCCTCTGCTGTTTTCTCAACCAATGCAGCAATTACCTCCAAGGCTTGGCCAGCCAAACATACGACAGACCCAGCAGACTGGTTTAGGTGGTCCTGGAGCACCTTTCTCATCCTATAGTGGAAGTTTCTCCTCATCGCATACTGTAAGTAATTCAAATTTGTGTACTATTTTGAGTTTCAGATTGCCATTAACTTCAAAATGGTTTGTGATTTCAGTCTGCATCATCTTCTTTTGGCCAGCAAACAAATGTTACACCTGTGCAGGTGACTGGGCAACAACCCTCAGTTACTGCTGCAACAGTTCCAGTAAGTCAGAATTCACCCTGCATTGAATTCTTTTTAGTATTTATCATCTTAGATCTTCTCTGTTGTTTGTACAATGTCCTTATGTTTCCTTGATACTGGCCACTTGAATGGTATTTGTTAATTCAACTCTCGAGAGTTAAATTTGCATAGGATATCAGAGAAGCCGCATGGAACTATTATTAAATATTTCAGTTGAGTGGTTATTTAAGAAATACAAAGTCTAAGCTCCTTGTTTTCCACTTTATGGGGGTTAAAGAGTCAGCCAGAGCTGATTAGGGTTCAAATAAGGCGTAAAAAAACTGCAAGTCAAATCTGGCATTTTAGTGCAAATTTGATGTTGTGAGAGTGACATAAAGAACTCTGCTGTTACCAGCAACTGGTATGAGGATTCTAGCGTGTATCTTTCTTTGGCAAAGCTCATCCTCCCTTTTCACCTCCTTCGTCTTTTTAAGGGTACCTAGACCAAAGCTGATGTATATTTTGGATCATGTTTCAGGATGTTGAGCCCCCTACCCTTGAAGTGCAATAAGACAGTCTCTTTGGAGAAGGTTTACTTGATATTTTTGAAGGTGTCGTGTATAACATCATCTGAGTGGTGGCATTGGCGTCCGTTTGATGCATTAAATTGTTGAGTTTCTTTGTAAAGCATGAGCATTATAAGCTTTCTTTTCGTGTAGTTTTAGCCTTTGGAAATTGGAAATGGCAGTTCTGCATTTGTATATTCACTTATTTTTGTTTATGTAAATACAAAAAGTTTGGTGTTAAACAACGTTACCTCACTGCAACTTCTTGTCTCCTACTTATTGTTTTGCTTTCCTCCTGTATATGCAGAGAATGACTATCTGTCTCCTTCCTTCTTTTTTTTTTTTTGAGTGGAACAAAATGAGGATGGCATTGTACAAACCAAATTCTCACATGTTTGAATGAATTCCAAGGGACATGAATTTGGGATACTTTGTTTTTAGGTTCCTATGGATACATATTTTCAACGTATATATGTTTCTAGTGGCTGTGTGTAAACTCTGTTGGAGTAAATAAGCTAATGTGAATTGTTTTACATATAAGGCATTTTGATCTTCATTTTACCCAAATTTGTGCAATTGTGCATGTAAATTGTTCTGAATCCCTTTTGTTTATATAGTAGTAATTATTTGATTCTTCACCCTTCTGGACTAGTTGTTCGTTGTTGTCTTTAGAACATTCACGTGTGTTAATTATGGACCATATTAAATTTTTTTAATACATGAATTTCTTTTTCTCCCGGCGTTGCTTCCTAATAGATAGACTTCTTTTAGTGTTTGCTTTAAGCTTAGCTCTTATTTTATATGTAGTTTTCTTGCATTGATTCTCTAATCTGTTTAGACTTTCGCTCGATTCATTCTATATTTTTTGTGGGGTTCAAATTTTCCTAGTTTTTCTTATATCTTATGGAGGAATCCTATGCACCGTGAAAATCAGAGTTTGGTTCTCTTAAAGAAGGTCCATATAATGTAAATTGTATATTTCTCTAGTCATCCTGCAATGTCTGCCTTGTCTTAGTGTTTGTTTGGACCAAACTTGTTCATTTTGTTTTGTATTGATGGTATATAACGGTAGAGAAAAGCTCAATAACATTAGGATTTCAAGAGAATCACATTGTGGGTGAAATGATACCCTCAATGGATTGATAGCGGGCAAAAAAGGGATCATTCTGATCACAAGTTCATTAGCAGTTTTCTGAAATTTCACCCTTTCAAAGTCTCTTCGTCTTAACATGCTCATCTTCACTAAAGTATGCAATATTACTGATGTGATCTTGGAGTTACTAATCTAGTTGCAAGTATTGTATAGTCACTAATGTTGTGATCAGGGTTTTCATTCTGATATGTTTTTAAAATCTGTGGAGGAAAACATCAAAATTGTGAAATCTTGAAATAGAAAATAACTGTAATGGGTTGATTCTTCATGTACATCAGCTGTTATGTCTGTTTCACAATAGTAGGTTTTGAACTTAATAGTATATAGTCTCTAATTCGATGAATTTTGTGAAATTTGAGTTTTGAGCATAGTTTGACATGATATCAACAGAAAGAGACGTTCTTCGTTATTTAGAACTACTAAATATTTTGTTGGTAAAAACGGAATGCATTTTCATTCAGATTCAGAAAAAAATTGAAGTGTTAATGATTGAATAGAAAGGCTTGCAATTAAGTGTAAATGCGGGGTGTGTAAATATTGATTCTGCAATCAATAGCTCTAAAGCATATCATACCAAGCCTATCAGAAAATGTTTGAGATATCTTAAAGCTTTAACTTAAAACGGTGCAGTTTCCTAAATTCTATTTAAAAATTAGCTGAAGTGGTTTAATATAGGCCGCAGATGTTTCATACATGCCACGTCATTCGGTGGAGAATTCAATTTAGGATAACTTAGAGGATCCAAGTCCATTTTCTTCCACACACACCAAACTATAGTTTTGAGGGCTGATCATGTTTACTGCCATTTTGTATTTGTATTTCCCTGTTATCAAAATTGTTACCATTCGTTGATGCTATTATTGTTGTTGTTATTAGGGTCGCAAGCGAAAAACACCCTTTTGGTATGCATATAATGTATAACCCCCTATACGTTCTTAACAGTCCCTAATCTTTGGTGCGAACGAGGGCCTGTTGTCAGTGGACCGATTAAAAGACTAAAGTGCCCTTATGTATTTGAAAAAAAAAAGGTGAAAAACAAAGTAAATGTAAAATGACCAAAGTGCCCTAACCAATAGCGACTTCGTATCGAGCGGGTAATAGGGCATTTTGGGGAGACCAAAAGCGTATTTTAGAGAATCTATTACTTATTATACTTAAATGTGTACGAAGTAAGCCCTTTACCCATTTTTTTAAAACTTAACGAACTTATATACCCAAATAAAGGTTAGGGGTGTTATTTTACCCAAAATTTTAAACATTAGGGATGTTTTTCTCACTTTACCCTTGTTATTATTATGATTAGATATTATTTATATTGTTATTTTTTATATTGTCTTAGATAACGCAATCAATACAAGTATCATTACTAGAGGCCGCGGATGTTATTGGGGTTGGTGGAGCCAATGTTGCTTACATTCACCAGACTAGTGGAGCAAATCTAATTGTGTCAGAGACCGAGGGTGTTCCTGAACAGATGACTATTGAAATGGAAGGCACCTCTTCAGAAGTTGATAATGCTGAACGACTTATACAGGTTAGTGCTTTCAATTTTAGCAGCTCACCCTGCTGCCTGTGGTGGAAGTGAAATGGTTTTTGGCACTAGCATCACTTATTATTATTATTGTTATTATGCATTTCATTAGTATAAAAGAGATGAGTAATCTGAATCATTACGCTTATTATTTTCTCATTAGACATGGTTACATGTTACAATTGTCACCATTTGTGATACTAAACTGTCAACTTCCGGCACCAGGGATTTCCTCAATCCATCAGATTAGTGTCCGTTATCCTTTAAAGAGATCAAATAGAATGAGAAAATATTGTTTACTGCATTGTATTAGAGATCATCTTTTGTTACTTTGTACAGGTGGTCTTATTGGTAATTGTCCGTGTTACAAATTCCCTTATTTATTTTTTAAATCGGAAATTTATATTAGTCATGGAACTCGTTATATTCTTCAATGAAGAAATTTATTGTACAAGCTTTCTTTTCACCTGAAACACTTTGGAAGGGGAAAAAATAATAAATAGAAGTAAAGCTTGGATGGTTTTTCTTTACCCTCTTGGTATCACCTTCCTCCTCGGGGGGAGGGAGGTTGAGGTTTCAATTTCTGAATAGTGAATGTGTATGAGTACCTTACCCAGTCCCTTAACCCCACCCCACCACCAATCAACCGGAAAAAAAACCCCTTTGTGATATGAATATTTATTGCTGCAGGAGTTTATTAAGAACGGAACCAGCTCCAAGCATCGAAAGCGTCTACAAGGACTGGTACGTACCCATCATCTTCATTTGCATCTGAGCCATTGGGGGAGGGTATGAAACTTTTAAGTTATAGATTCTGGTAGAACTAATCATATTTCCTGTCTTGGACTCCCTGGAACTACATTGTAGAATGATCTTGTGGTAGTCAATATTGTAAGGAGAAAAACTTATTTTTATGAAGACCTGTTTGACCAACTCCCATACAGAGAACAAAGAAAAATATTGTGTGCCGGCAGTGATTAGCTCGTGCTTTCTTGTGTATGTTTCCTTTTTCAAGTTTTTGCTTGCATATACTAAAATAGGAATTAGTTTTTAATGTAATCAAGGTTTTAATGACATAATAGTGAAATTTTGAATCTTGTGGCCATGCCCATTGGCAAAGAAATCCTTATTTAGTGATTGGTATTGTGAAGTGAAATTCTAAGGCAGCTAATCACATTTTATGGAAGTTGGTCGTCATCACTGTAAATGAATGTTATTTCTTGTAAGGTTTTGTTCTCTAAATGGTGAGGATTTGGACTTAACCAACTTGAACTAAAAGAGGCTGGCTTTGGCATGCTTCTACATATTAATGAGTAAGTGATGATGATGAGGTCATAAAATAATCAGATATAACTTTTGAACTACTAATTTTTATTATTCTATGTTAATAAGTGGTTAATAATTAACACATCCGCTTTGGATCATAAGTGATCAGTGGATGATTGATATTCAAGCTTTAACAAGTAGATAAATCAACGTCAATTTTCAGACTTTTTGTCTTCTGTTTTTTTCCCTTCCCAATTGTAAGACATTAAATAGCATTAGAATAAAGATGTACCGTATCAGTGTAGTTCATTTGCTACACGTGGTTCTGGCACAGCAAGGACAGGCAACTTTGGGTTCGCAACAATTTTGCCTTGAGTTTTCAGTCAACTAAATTGTATTTAGGATATTGTTAAAATCTTTATTATGACACTTCAGGCCAATCTTTGACTGGATAAACTTGAAGAAAATAATATTTCCCTTTGGCATGAGTTTTGGTTCATGTTAATTAGTTTTAGTACTTGGTTCACTCTCTTTTCCCTGGCCAAGATTATAATATTATAAATTGTATTTTGCTAATCCTTTTTACAATAATTTATATTGTTTAGCCGTGTTTTTTTGGCCTCTAAATATTTCTCTCCCCCCTCCCCCCCTCCCCTTTTTTCATCTCTCTGTCTCCCCTGTAAAAAGCATCCTGGAGTTGGATCAATGGGTACTCAAAGTTATGCTCCAACGTTCCCTATGCAGGTAAGCTTCTCTCCTTTCTGAGTTATATGTCATTCTTTGTCTGCTTCTTCTTAAATGGGCTAGCCTAGTGCACGAGGCTCCCTTATTTGCTTCTTATAAGATCTATAATATGTTCACTATGAGCAAATCAATTTGCTAGATGTGGTTCTGCAGAGCAAGAACAGGAAACTTTGGGCTCGCAACAATTTTGGCTTGAGTTTTCTGTCGACTAAATTGAATTTAGGATATAGTCAAAATCTTTATTATGACTGTTCAGACCAATCTTTGACTGGATTAACTTGAATAATTATATATTTTCCTTTGGCATGAGTTTTTGTTCAACTTAATTAGTTTTAGTACTTGGTTCATTCTCTTTTCCCTGCCCAATATTAAAATATCGTAAAATATATTTCTGCTAATCCTTTTTACAATAATTTATATTGTTTAGCTGTGTTATTTTGGCCTCTAAATATTTCTCTCCCTCCCCCCTCCCTTCCTCTCTTCCTCCGCATCATTCCTTATCTGCTTCTTCTATAAAGGGCTAGCCTAGTGCACAAGGCTCCCTTATCTGCTTCTTATAAGATCTATAATATTTCACTCTCAGCAAATCCATTTGCTACACAGGGGGTTCTGTCACAGCAAGGACATGCACCTTTGGCTTCGCAACAATTTTATTGTTCAGGTTCACATGGTATATCTTCACCTAATGTTGGGATGCCTTTTAGTCTGGGTCTGGGTCAGCCTATGCTGTTTTCTCAACCAATGCAGCAATTGCCTACAAGGCATGGCCTGCCACTGCCAAACATACCACAGACTGAGCAAACTTTTTTAGGTTGTACTGGAACACCTTTCTCGTCATCCTAGAGTGGAAGTTTCTCCTCATCGCATACGGTAAGTAATTCAAATTTGTGTACTATTTTGAGTTCCAGATTGCCATTAACTTCATAATGGTTTGTGATATCAGTCTGCATCATCTTCTTTAAGTACAATAAGACAGTCTCTTTGGAGAAGTTTTACTTGATATTTTGAAAGGTGTCGTGTATAACGTCATCTGAGTGGTGGCATTGGCGCCCGTTTGACGCATTGAATTATTGAGTTTCTTTGTAAAGCATTAGCATTATAAGCTTTCTTTTCCTCTAATTGTAGCCTTTGGAAATTGGAAATGGCAGTTCTGCATTTGTATATTCACTTATTTTTGTTTATGTAAATGCGAAAAGTTTGGTGTTAAACAACGTTACCTCACTGCAACTTCTTGTCTCCTACTTATTGTTTTGCTTTCCTCTTGTATTTGCAGAGAAATGACTATCAGTCTCCTTTTCTTCTTTTTCCTTCTTGAGTGAATTAATTTTTCTTTGAGGGGAACAAAACGAGAATGGCATTGTACAAACCACATTCTCACGTTTGAATGAATGCCAAGGGACATGAATTTGGGATACTTTGTTTTTAGGTTCCTGTGGATGCATATATTTAATGTATATATGTTTCTAGTGGCTGTGTGTAAACTCTGTTGGAGTAAATAAGCTATAATGTGAATTGTTTTACGTTTAAGACATTTTGATCTTCATTTTACGTGAATTTGTGCAATTGTGCACATAAAATTGTTGTGAATCCCTTTTGTTTATATAGTAGTAATTATTTGATTCTTCACCCTTCTGGACTAGTTGTTCAGGTTTTGTCGTCTTTAGAACATTCACGTGTGTTAATTATGGACCATACTACTTTTTTTTGATACATGAATTTCTTTTTCTTTCGGCATTGCTCCCTAATAGATAGACTTCTTTTAGTGTTTGCTTTAAGCTTAGCTCTTATTTTATATGTAGTTCTCTTGCAATGATTCTCTAATCTGTTTAGACTTTCGTTCGATTCATTCTATATTTTGTGGGGTTCAAATTTTCCAAGTTTTTCTTATATCTTATGGAGGAATCCTATTGAAATATCCCGGATTTTTCTGGATTTTTCGGTATTTTATTTTTATTTATTTTTCGTACATTGTTTTGCGCATCATGTGGGTCTCGGTGATTTTATTGCATATATTTATTTATTTATATGAGCATGTGATGTGTTTGCAAATATATGGATGTACATATATATATATATATATACATATATATATATATATATGGATGGTTAGTGAGAAGAGAGATTATTTGGCATATCAGAGATTAAAGTTAGTACAAGCCGCATGGTGGTAATTGTGAGGGTCAAAGAATGTGACCCATGGGTTGGCTAGTCTTGGATGACCCTTTAGTCATTTTTTGAACGTCACAATCTTCACTCTCTTCTCCCTCTGGGCCACCACTCTCCCTCTCTTCATTTTTCTCTCTCTCTATATTTCTATCTTGTCTCTTTGATCTTGCAAGTTTCAGCAAGAATTGGCCCAAACCATAGTTAGGAAAGTGGTAGAGGTTGACAAGGGCTACATTTTGGCACCGGTCTTGCATCATTTTGGTGGGATTTTGAGTTAGGGTCTAAGGGCTTTGGTTACTCCATTTGCGGTAGGAAGTCTAAATTGCAATGTCTTTAATCTTTGTGGATTCTTATTTGTATATGTGTTTGAGAAGCATGATTATGTGTTACATCTTTGTTCTTGTAATATGAAATTCCTTGATTTGGTTGTTGCTATACATAAATCATGATATGGATGTATTAATTTGGTTTATTCAAGTTGAAGCATGCTAAGTTTGATGTTGCTGAAAGTTAATTTCCTTGAGAAATGTGAATGATTTGATGTATAGCATGCATTTCATGAACATTGGTTGGGTTCATGGGTTGGAAAGAGTTGATGAAATGGTTTTTGAAAAGTTTTTTTTGAGAAATTGGTTTGAAATTGAAAGGTTTTTTAGAAAAGGTTTTGTGAAAACTGGGCGCCTCGAAGTTGCCATGTGGTCCGGTGAGCTACCTAGGCCTCAAATGATGCTAGGAAGATGCCTTAGGTCAATGATAGCTAGTCAATTCCCTTTGTAACACCTAGGAGATGCCTAGGGTCGGGTTGTGTTAACATTTTCGGTGTGAGCTGTATTTGGACGGAATTGGTTTTGGAAAATGGGGAGAGTGCATCTTATGACATTTCTTTTCATCATTTGAAAGGCACGGAAATTAAAGTGTACGTTGGATTATTATTTTCCCCCGTTTCATATGATCCCCTTCTATTGTTTTCCCTTGCTTTGGGTGTGATTCACGAGATTACAAAATGTGTATTTTAGGCTATCTATTGAATCGTTGTGCTCACCCCATATTTTAACACTTTCATGACAGGGCAAGGATGTTGTAGATGATGCACCCCCGGTAAGCTTAGATGTAGATTGATGAATATTTTGGTATCTTTTGTAAAGGCCTTCTTTTGACGATTGACTATTTGTAATGACCTTATTCTTTTGTCGACTTCCATGTGAAGAAGTATTTTCCATGTGAAGAAGTATTTATGGCCACGGAGGCCTTTAATTGTAATCTTACTCTTCTGGATACAATTTCATTTATGGTTAATTTAATGTAGATAAAAGTGTGGTTTTATCTATGGGTTATTTGCATGTTGAATTGTGTTGGGAAAGGGTTAGAGTTTTGATCAAATCTCATAAGCCCAGGAACCCATCCGACCAATTAGATGAGTGATCTAAATGTTTGTAAGAAATTTACAAAATTCTCATTTTCTGGTAACAGTGTGATTTTATCCATGGGTTATTTGCATGTTGAATTGTGTTGGGAAAGGGTTAGAGATGAGTTTTGATCAAATCTCATAAGCCTAGGAAACCATCCGACCAATTAGATGAGTGATCTAAATGTTTTTAAGAAATTTACAAAATTCTCATTTTCTGGTGTAAGCCAAGTAACCGGTTAGATGATCCCATTAAACAGGTTACGTGAGCTAAGTAATCAATTTTCAAATCTGTTTTCAAATTGATTACGTGATCAATTTTCAAATTGATTACGTGAGCTAAGTAATCAATTTTCAAATTTGTTGAAATTTTCAAATCTGCACGTTCACTGTCCCAAGCCAGTAACTGATTAGATGAATTCATGTAATTGCTTAGATGAGTTATCTAATTAGTTAGATGAGTCATCTAATCGGTTAGATGAATTCATGTAATTGCTTAGATGGGTTATCTAATTAGTTAGATGAGTCATCTAATCGGTTTGTTGGTCTTGGCCGTATGCATGCTCATTGGATTAGACCATCTAGCCAGGTATGGCTAGAAAGATGTTTGAATGTAACCGGTTAGTGCAAAGCATATAATGGCTATAGAAAAATGACCATTTTACTCATAATAGTTTAGAAGTTATTAATGTATTAAATGATTTTTTTGTCTTTTTTTTGGGTTTTAAATTATTATTTGACCACGATAAATGACTATTATATCCTTATGGACTCTAGAACTATTATATTGACTTGAAATGATCATAGTACCCATTGTGTGATTTCACGTTCGAGTAAAGGAGTAAAGATTCGGTTAGCAATCCGGAGCTGAGAGATTTGGGTCATTACACGTGAGAATCAAAGTTTGGTTCTCTTAAATGTTTGCCTTGTCTTAGGGTTTGTTTGAACCAAGAGAATCATATTGTGGGTGAATTGATACCCTCAATGGATTGATAGCGGGCAAAAAAGGGATCATTCTGATCGCAAGTTCATTAGCAGGTTTTTTGAAACTTCACCCTCCTTTCAAAGTCTCTTCGTCTTAACATGCACATCTTCACTAAAGTATGCAATATTATTGATGTGATCTTGGAGTTACTAATCTAGATGCAAGTATTGTATAGTCACTAATGTTGTGATCTTGGCGTTACCATCTAAGCTTTCTGAAGCATTGATTCGAGATTCTTATCATAAGCATTTATTCAAATTAAGAGTTACATTTATCACTTAGTCTTTATCATGGTGTCAATTTCTAGTAGTATAATATGTAATTGAAAAATTCGGGAGTGGAAAAGAAACACGAAGTTTTGGCGGGCTATGTTTCTGTTTTCACTATTTTGAAACAGACGTAACAGCTGATGGTACATGAAGAACCAATCTATTATAGTTATTTTCTCTTTCAAGATTTCACAATTTTGACGTTTTCCTCCACATGTTTTAAAAAGATCTCATAATGAAAACCCTAGTTATGATTTTACAACTTTAAGATTCATTGTTGCTACTTCGCCTTCTGTTCATATTTCGCTAATCTTGTAACTTGTACGAACAAATTTTAAGATAGGTGTCCGTTTAGCACTTTGATATGGGAAGGGTGATCTGATTAAAGAAACTTGAATAGTAGGTTTTGAATTTAATAGTATACAATGTCTGATTCAACGAATTTTGTGAAATTTGAGTTTTGAACATAGTTTGACATGATATTAATAGAAAGAGACGTTCTTCATTATTTAGAACTACTAAATCTTTGATTGGCAAAAACTTGATGCATTTTCTTTCATATTCAGATTCAGATTTAAATTGAAATGTAAATGGTTGAATAGAAAGGCATGCAATTAATTGTAAATGCGGGACATAGCTCTTAAGCATATCAGACTCGTTTGGTAGTTTGAAGTACTTTGGCGTATTTGTATACATGCACATGTGGCATGTTTTTGTATTATTTTAGTTTAATATGCTGAAACTTGTATTTTTTATTTGAACCATATAATGTGCACTTAAGTGCACTTTTTGACACTTATTTAATGTGTATGTGTTGAAGCCTTTATTTTGCAAGTATACACATTTGGTTTTGAGTTTTATTTGAAGATGTTTTGAGAACTTGATGTTTGATAGGTTGTAATTTGCATTGGGGGTATTTTGAGGCCAAGGGCCATTGGAGCACACTTAAGTAGGCATTTTACGTTTGCGTGCACCATCACTTTTGCACACAACACCTTATTGCATGAAATGAGCTCCCATTGGACTCATTATTTCATTTTTTTACAAAATCTGGTGCGAGGGGCTTTTTGGATATTTCATTTGAAAAATAAATTCCGGCCTTGACATGGTTACTTAGAAATTATTATTATTATTATTATTATTTGGGGGGGGGGGGGGGGGGGGGATTACTTTACGAAATTTTTTCAAAAAATGTCGTTTGTGCCCTCAAAACTCCGTTAAAATTTTGATTTTCTGATTTAAATACAAAACCTCCTTTTCTTGAAATTTTGAGCTTGACACTATTCATTAACTTTTGTCCAAAAACCATGCCGATTGTTTTGGAACTTACAGGGGTCTTATAGGTGTATTTTAAGGTTGCATATTCAATTTAGTTGTTTTAAAAATCACCCGAAGCCTCATTTCCATCACTTGGGCAGTAGCTCGACTTATTTTAAATCCTCTAGACCTAATTTATCTTGGGGGCATTTTTGTCATTTTTCTTTATTTTTCAATAGTGGTTTGGACCATGGTTGATCAGAAAACATGATTTTAGTGGGGGTTACTTCACAAACTTTTTCCAAAAAATCGCATCTTGGCCCTTAAAACAACCTCATTTTCATCACTTAGGCAGTAGATGGCTTACAGCTTGATGTCAGACCACGGTCTCCACTCCTTGACTCGAGGACTTATGAGGATATAGTTCAGAGGGCTATACTTGTTGGGGCAGAGGCTCAGGATGCTGTACGGATTAAGGAGTCTAGAGAGCGTTGTGAGGATAAGGCTTCATCTTCGGGGGTGCAGGTCAAGACGACTAGAGTTGGGGGTGTTACTTGCTCACTAGACCATCATGGCAGATTCATCCCACGAACCCTGTTCCTTTGGCTACAGGGTCCGCTCGTGAGATGATATGCCACCATTGCCATCAGACAGGGCACATCAGGCCTCATTGCACTCAGCTTTAGGCCCAGATCATTCGACATGCTGCTATAGCTATAAATGAGGTTCACAGAGCTTGCAACTACTACAAGTAGATAGGTCACTTCAAGAAGGAGTGCCTAAGGTTGTTGAAGAAGTCACGTCGTGACATGGGGTTTCAGGCCGCACCGGCACCGTCACAGGTGGGGGTGTCCATGGTTGCAGGGCAGGGCAGGATAGACACAGTCCAAACTTCTACGAGGGGAGGAAAAGGAGTTTTCAATTATTGCAAGTAGCCCGGTCACTTTAAAAGAGAGGGTCCACATTTGTTGAATAGGGCACTGAGTGATACAGGCTTTCATGCAGCACCGACACCGGCACCGTCACAGGTGGGTCGAACAGGACAGGGATTAGGAGTTCAAAGAGGAACGGTTCCTTCTCTTCCATAGGTGGATGCTTCCGCGGGGATTTTTGCTGTTCAAGGTACCTTTCCTTTGCTCAGTCCTTTTTTTCATTTGAGTTTTTCTTTTTTACATATGTTCTATCCTGTCATTTTACCATTTTCTGCTCATTCATCGACTTGAGGTCACAATAGGGATAGTTTTCTTTGTGTTTCCACGCCAGTTGGGGTTCTAGTGTCTTTGAACAGGGTTTGTCAGGGTTGTTCTATTCACCCAATTTTCTCTACATGGTAGGTTTTAGAGTTCGATTTCATCTTTCTTGACATGACGGGCTTTAACGTCATTCTCAGGATGGACTGGTTGTCTTTTTTTGGGGTTTTAATCATTTTCTTCCAGGGGAGGTTGTCTTTTTGTGCTTCCAAGGGAGTTTGTTTTCATTTCATGGGAGATCGGAGCGATTCCCACTCAACAGTCATTTTCAGCATCAGTGACTAGAGTCGCCACAGGTCTTACTTGGCTAGTTGATTGGCCGAGGAAGATAGGAGTTTGGGTCGTGTTTCTTCTGACAGTTATTGAAGAGTTTGTTGATGTCTTCCCAGAGGAGTGGACAGAGTTACCTCCTATACGGGAAGTTATTTTTGCAATTGATGTCATTTTTGGTACAACGTCCATCTTGATGGCGCCATACCGCATGGCACCGGTAGAATAGGGTGAGCTTAAAAGCCAATTGGACGATTTGAAAGTCAAGGGCTTTATTCATCTTAGTATTTCACCATGGGGAGCACTGGTTCTTTTACAAAGAAAAAGGATGGGTCTCGGTGCTAAAAGTTCCTTGGACATGTTGTGTCAGGGAGCGGTGTTACAATTGATCCGTCTAAGATTGAGTCTGTGATGGATTGGGAACCTCCAAAGACAGTGGTTGAGATTCAGAGTTTCCTTGGCCTAGCCGGCTACGACCGAAGATTTGTTCAGAAATTCTCTCGTCTAATGGCACCTATGACTCTACTTACTCACAAAGGGATCAAGTTCATATGGACTAAGGTCTGTGAGTTGGCGTTTCAGGAGTTGAAGGTCAGGTCGACATCGGCTCCAGTTTTGATCATGCCTGAATATGTTTTAGGTTAAGTGGTCTTCTGTAATGCTTTGTGAAAAGGATTGGGTTATGTTCTGAAGTAGTCAGAACGGGTGGTTGATTTATGTTTTAAGGATTTGGTTGTCTATGATGGGGATTTTGATCCAGCATTTTGGTTCTTGTGCATCACATTATGTTAGGTCTGTTTCAGTAGGTTTTCGATGTAGTGTCTTTTAGTATGGGTCGTTGCGACTTGGGTGGTGCAACGCTTTCAGATTTTATGGGGTCTGATCCATTGG